GGCGACGATCCGGTCAAGCTGGCGCCACTCCTCGGCTATGACCAGCGACTCGGCCAACTTGGCGCCATCTCGGGCGCACTCCAGAGACTTGCGGTAGTCGTCGGTAATGGTGATGAAGTCCTTGGGACCCGGCATCTTCATCTTCAGATATGCATAGTAGGGAACCGCCATGAACTTGCCAAGCGCGGGCCGGCCCAGCAACGCATGGTACGTGCTGGACAGGTCCACCACCTCGAACCAGATGTCGAGCCGGACCAGGCCAATGGGAGAGCAGGAAAGGCCGGGTACGATGCCGTGGAAGATCGTCCGGGTTGGCTCCAGGTCCTCGGCCTTGAGGCCGACCTTGGTCATCGTGTCGCGGTAGAGGCTGTTGATGCTGCTGCCGCCGTTAATGAGGACTCGAGAGAACTTGCACGTGCGCCGCGCGATGATGGTGGGGTTGAGGACGAGGGCGTAACCTCCCGGATTCTGCATCACTGTCGGGCGATCCTCCCGAGTCCAGGTGATCGGGCGATCCGACCAGTGCATGAATTCTAGCTTGGTCGGGACGACGGTGTTCACCTCCTGCCGAAGGAGGCGCTCGCTGCGCTTGTCATTGCCGAGGCTGGTGAAGATGATGTAGGCCACGTTCTGGTCCAGGAAGGCGTCGTCGTGCATCATGCCGCCAGCTGGAGGCGGCGGTGGAGGTGGAGGCGGCCGCCCCGCGCCTGGAGCCGGAGCCGGAGGGGGCGGGACGTCACCCCTCATGATGTGCTTGGTGATGGCGCACTGCCGAAGCATGTGCGAGGACGGTCTTGCGCCGCTGTGGTGCTTGCAGGGAGCGTCGAGCATCTCTTCGAAACTCATGGTGGGCTGCCACGCCATCTTGCCGGTCTGCCGACGCTTCGCCGTCGGGTCTGCCGCGGGCTTGGCAGCCGCGACGAGCCGATTGTCGTGATGCTGCGCCGGCTGGTCGGCCTTGTACTTGTTGTTCTGGTGATGCTGCTGCCGGTTGCTTTCGCCGGCCGGCTTCGAAGAGGGAACCGGCTTCGCCTTGCCGGCTTCGTCCAACGCCACCTGGATCTTCATGGCGGAGTCGGCGTTGGCGTATTTGTCCGCCGTTAGCATGAGCGCGGCCATGGTGGCCGGCTCGGAGCGCAAGAGCTTGTGCTTGAGGAGGGTGCCGTCTCGGCACCCTTTGATGAAGTACTGGATCACCTGGACTTCATGGACGCCCTCACAGTTGTTTCGGAGCTCGGTCCAGCGTGCGAGGTACTCGCGACCGGCCTCCGTTGGCCCCTGCACACACATGGCGAGTTGGCTAGGGCGGCCGGGTCGCTTGTAGGTCCCCGTGAAGTTGCGGACGAAGGCCTCCTCGAAATTGACCCATGTATTGATGCTGCCCATCGGCAGACTATTCAACCACGTGTGGGCCCACCCCTGGAGCATGAGCGGTGCGTAGCGCATGGCGAGACGGCGATTGGCACCAGTGATGCCAATGGCCGTGGTGTAGTCGGTGAGCCAGTCTTCTGGCTTCACGGCCCCGTTGTACTTGGGGGTGTTGCGGGGGAGCAGAATCCTTTGGTAAAGGGCTCGTCCCGGATGTGTGGGCCGAAGCACGCCGGCCCGATAGTGCCGCTCTCCTCCACCTCCAGGGAGCGAGCGAGCTGATCGAGGAGGTGGCGAGCGTCAGCGCCGCCGATGGCGCGCAGGTCGAGTCGACTGGCGGCCAGGTCCCGGGGGGCTGGGTCGGTCAGAGTTGTACGTCGGCCATGCTGGCCGGGTCCGCGCTGGGTCTCCGGGGCGGGCTCGTCGCCCAGGACGCCGACGACTGTGGCGGCCGGGTCGCGCCGAGTCGGGGCTTGGCCGGAGTGCGCCTCGCCGGGCGGCGAGGAAGCAGTGTGCAGAAGTTCGCCGTGTCCGCCAAGGCGGGCGGAGCCGGACCCCGCCGGCTTGGTGAGCTGGTTGAGGCGGTCCTGCTGGGTGTTGGTCGTGTTGAGGAGCTCACGCATCCGCCCGATGCGCTCCTGTAGCTCTTCACCCATGAGCCGGTCCAGGCCGACTGCGTCTGCCTGGGCAGCGCGCATGTTCTTCACTGGGGTCTCGTAGACGGTCCGGACGGCGCCGAGGGCCCGGCCGATCGCTCCTCCCCGGGTACGCACATCAGCGACCCGGCTTGGCTCGGCCCCGACGGGCGCGAATCCGTGGGCGGCGTCGTGCTCTAGCTGAGCGGCGTCCAGGCGACGCTTGGTGGCGGCGAGCGTCTCGGACAGGTCCAGCATCTGCTGGCACCTTTCCTCGAGCTGAGTTCGGGCCTCAGCGACGTTGGTGGCGTCAACGTCGGTGCCGATGGGGATACAGAGGCTTTGCATCGCGGCGCGCAACGGATCGGACGGCTCGGTCCGTTCCGCTGTGGCCCTAGCTTCTGTGGCCTTCCTCAACTTGCTCGACGAGGAGGAGGCGCCATCTCGGTGACGAAAACCTCCACATGGCGGCGGAAATGCCACCGCCGAGGGAGAGGGGAGAGTCGAAGTAGCTGAGCACCTCACTGGGGTACTCGTCGGCCGCGAACGCATCAGAGATGCGCAGCGCGACGAAGGAGGCGGCGAGCGCGCCGACGATGTCGTCCGCCAGCGCGACAGACTCGTCGGAGTAGGAGAGGGGCCCCGTCTGAAGCATGCTCCCGGCCAGCTCCTCGAGCTGCCCCACGGTGGGCGCCAACTGTCATGGTGGGCGCACGGTGGATGCCAAGGGATGGCTAAAGAGAGGAGGAGGCTTGAGGGCGCTGGTGGGCTCTAGAGGCGAGGTTGGCATGAGCGGGCGCGGGACGCCGGACATACCCAGGTTTGGGGCTCTCAGAGAGATAATACCCTTAGTCATGCTGAGTGTAGTTTGATGTTCGATAGTACAATGTCGCTCCTGGAGCTGTATGGGAGAGGAAGGGAGCTGGCCAAGGCTTGGGCTGCCCCTTCTCTCTGGGGTGGCTGTTTCGGTGGCTAGTTGCTTACTTGTTCCTGTTCTCTACATACATCACATGCCCGTATATGCGTGGGCTCCTGGGGGGTTTTATAGACCAACCCCCCAGGGATACAATGGTAATATTGTGAGTCGGTGGGTCCGGGTTGTCGGCGTCCGGGAACCCGGGCTGGGTCCCGCCGGGGCTTGTGGTTCGCCAGGTTCCCCTAGGTGCGGGCCCCGCATGCCTAGGGGGACTGTGCGTCGTCTTGTCGTTCGTCAGGGTGAGGCCGAGTCGAGTCGTGTACAATGATGCCCCATCAGGTCGCCGCTTGCTGTCATCAGCGGCTAGGGCGGGGGCACTGTTGCCACGCCAGCCCTGGTCAACGGGCAGGTGAGGGGCACTGTTGCCACGCTCCGGCTGACCATAGGCATGGGTGGGGGCACTGTTGTCTTGGTCATCGGTGATTGAAGTCTCGTCCCATCGTACGGCCTGGATGGGACAGGAGCTGGCCCGTGGCTGGATTGCGGAACACGCTACAGGTGGGGCTGGCTTGTTGGAGAAGCCTTGGTTGCGCGGGGTTTGGCTGTCTCGTGCCAATTGTTGAGGCCGGGTCGACGTGCCTTGCCGGGTCGGAGAGCTTGGCCGGGTTGCGGGCCTTGCCGGGTCGAGCGACCCGGCCAGGCGCGTGCCGGTTTGAGGGGCGATGCGGGTTCCGCTGTTTTTGAAAAGGATCCGGGTTCCGTTGCCTGCCCGAGGTTCAACCCCCCGACAATAAAATTACTTTTGCTAAATTCCTGAATTGATGTTCAACTTGTAAAGGAAGGTGACTGTGGTTGCATTAGATTTAAAGAACTGTGGTAGGAATAGTTAATAAATATAAATAAAATAGTTAGTAAAGTATTTTTGGAGTGTTTTTATATGTAGAAACTGACCATGGTTCATAGGTTCACCAGTAACATCTTTCGTAAACAAGGTGTCACATAATAAGAAACATAATGATGAGATTTGGTCAGTCCACTTACACATAGTCATAAAAATAAATCGTGTACATTTTATATAGATGATACATCCAAAATTATAACACACGCCAAGTCACTTGGATAATACTCCACCCATGGCGTCAATATATAAGCTACAAAACAATTGCATTAAAAACTTCGGCATACTGTTGATAATAAATCTATTCCCGAAGAGAATACTGAGATAGGTAGAAAACACTCTCTTTACCCGTAGCAGAGCAAACTAAGAGAGTACAAACAGGCGCATGCGTCTTAACCTTTTCTATCACTAGGCTAATCCCACACCTCGGCCTACTCCATCTAATGCACACTCTTCTCATTATTATCCCCTCATCATAACTGGCCAACATTGTACTAACATAGACTCAGTATGCATCCGCAAATTAATCTCACAACAACACTGGTAGCAATATGTTGAATTATTCAACTCATTAAAAAAGATCCACCACAAGCATTAAATGGATCACCATAATCCTGTACGCCAACTCATATGATCTAGACAGTGAAACACATCGAGATGTTTTATTACATAGGTTAGTACTACAAAGCCATATGTGACAAGTTTGTATTATTAACTCCCCGTCGAGGAGCTGGGTGAAACCAGTACAAATTTCCCCAACTACCAAGTATTTTGATACAAAGGGAGTAGGTCACATGTTCACGAACTGCATGCAAAACCAAACTCCGTTGTTGGTTTAGCAATACCGGCATGTATAAACTCGCTTAATTGACGAGATAAATGAGCCGCTAGTATGCGAAAAGATGCCACATCAACCATGACGAGAAAAGCTAGGTTTGAGCGGCTATGAATCTCTCACTGCTTCCACGCAAAAGACAGCTTGCATTCCCCTCCAAATTCTGTTGCAACCAATCAATTAAGTGCGCTCTAGCTCATCACAACCGTCATATAACACAACAAATTTAGTTAATTGCTAACAACTCTGCCTCTCTTAACTTTTTCTGGGTATATATGCGAGCATGTGTGGCGCATCCAGCATAAACTCAAGGAACTACACCAGCGAACCAGACTTGGCTAGAATACCATGGCGTGCAAGTCCAGCTGCAGCCTCCTCCTCTTGGCCGCCGTCCTGCTCTCCGTCTTGGCCGCTGCTTCCGCCTCCGGCAGCTGCGTCCCAGGGGTGGCTTTTCGGACCAATCTTCTGCCACACTGCCGCGACTATGTGTTACAACAAACTTGTGGCACCTTCACCCCTGGGTCAAAGTTACCCGAATGGATGACATCTGCGTCGATATACTCCCCTGGGAAACCGTACCTCGCCAAGTTGTATTGCTGCCAGGAGCTCGCAGAAATTTCTCAGCAGTGCCGGTGCGAGGCGCTGCGCTACTTCATAGCGTTGCCGGTACCGTCTCAGCCTGTGGACCCGAGGTCCGGCAATGTTGGTGAGAGCGGCCTCATCGATCTGCCCGGATGCCCCAGGGAGATGCAATGGGACTTCGTCAGATTACTCGTCGCCCCGGGGCAGTGCAACTTGGCGACCATTCACAATGTTCGATACTGCCCCGCCGTGGAACAGCCTCTGTGGATCTAGAGATAAAATCAGTCGCTCGTGAATAAGCATGCATGTTGCATCCATAGGCGTGTGGTGTGCATGTATACATATGTGAGCTCCGCGCGCTCAACATGTGTGGGCTATCTGCTATGAATGAGAATAAAGAGAATCATTCTGTGGTTCTTTAATTTCAACTAGATCATTTTAGTCTGTCAAAGGCCAAAGCGACATTTCAACTGGATCATTTATTTTTCAAAGGCCAAAGCCAGATATAAGTTATTAACTAAGTCCAAACCTAATAAACCTATGACAAAAATAAAGATTACAAGCAGATCCAAGGGAAGTTCATCGCCGTCTCTAACATCCACAAGAAGATGGCACGTCTCGAGCCTAGCTAAATGCCTCACTTGTTCCGCATCATTGGAGCCATGGAATCATTGAAGACCCCCCTCGTCAGTGTGGTATCATGAACTGGTTGGTACGGATATGGCCATTGATGTAGTTGTCAATCATGGATCTGACCGCTTTGGGCTTTTCTTCCTTTTTCCTCACCTATTTATAGCTTTGGGGCTATCTTAGTTATTCCTTATAATCCTTAGAAGTCTCCCTTGATCCATATATTCATGGATTATAATAGAAAACAATGCATACCTATTGTCTTTAGCGTGCCTTACATGACAATTTATAGGTACAGATGGGCGTCCATGTTTGCATGTCAATTCTTTTGATACTTCTAAAACATTTATTTGTAATTTTGAAAACATCAGGGCTCACTAGAGCTCGAGATACGAAAGGGTTTCATGTACTCTTGTTCGTAATAGTATTCCTAGCCCGTCCTCCCCTGTTGTTTCATTTATGAGGAAATATAATATGTAAGTTAAAATAGGAGTAAATTTCATGTACATGGCATCATCAATCTTTGAGGAGCCTTAGCCAGATTCCAGTTCTACCATGAACTCCCCTCCTAACATAGCTAACTCACGGCTAACCACCGGGACCCATCTTCATGATCATATTCTCATCGGCCACACCCTATTGCCTCATTTGGTTCTCCTTGAGTAGAAGCTGACCCTTCTCCATGTCAACCTTGTGCCTCTTGCCGTCATTCATCTCTCGCCACCTCACCAACTTATCTTGTCTTTTCTTCTCCACCAAGTCAAACTTGGCTTGCATGATTCGCGCCACCATGTCCTGCTTCGTCGTGATCAACTTATACATCTTCTCCCTCGTGTAAATGACATCCACTTCCCTCTCAAGCATACCCTTCACCCTCTTGCTCGATGGAGTAGGACTCCTCAGTCTCCTCTTAGCATCGCCACCCTCATCAATATCATCATATTCTTCTTCTTTGTCAACCTTCAAAAAGCACGAGGTACTTGACCTTGATTTCTTCGGTGGAGCCTCATCATTCATCGTCTTCCAGTTCTCATCCTTCTTGAGCAAGTTCCAACAATGACGGAAATTGCTTGTACTTCTCCATGGCGATCCCACCCTAAGACAAGAAATTGCATGATGAGCAACAATTGACAAACCGATGTTGACAAATATGACTAGAAAACATATGAATCAAACTTATGAATATTTTTCCCTTTGCCGGGAGAAATTTCAAAATGTTTTTTCTCTTTCGGAAGGACAAACTCAGAAATGTTTGACTGGTGCAAATTGTACTGGAAAGTCTTATAATTTGAACAACTGTAGGTAGTAAAGGTTCAGGGGCCCATGATGAACCAAACCTGGCCTTATTAGATGCCATTCAATAAAGATCATCTTACGTTTTCTTTGCAGATATCAAATATCAAACGCATTGGATTATGTGCCTATGTCTTGGGGCTGTTATTGGCCTGAACGCGAAATCGTTTGGTTGGAGATTTTGTATCGTAAACTAGGTTCTGAGTCATAGTCCAGTGTGATGTTATTTTGTTATCAGGATGAAACAAGTTATCATACGTTTATTTCCTGTTATTTTGCCACCTTGGTATGATATACTCCCTCCGTCGCATAATGCAAGATATTTTTTGACACTACACTAGTGTCAAAAAAACGTCTTACATTATGGGACGGAGGGAGTACGATTTATGTGATTATCCTGCCGCTACCTACTAGTATGGCAAACCTGTTTGGTGGGGTTAATAATAAAGTTAAACCACATATCTGGGCGGGAGTTTGTGATTTGCCCTGGGTTCTATGAAATTGTCGGCTTGACTGTGTTTTTAACAGAGTCAAAATATAGAACTTTATGCACATCATTTTCGGAGCTACACATGGATACGTACATGGTCCTTATTGCAGCATGTGAAGGTATATGAGCTATGGGTGTTGGGTGCAAGCAGTGGGAGACAGTTCTACATGTTACTTACAATCTGCTTGGATTGCGGTTTAATAATAGGCTATGCGTGTAAGTATATATAGTCCTATTGTCAATGGTGGTGGCTTCTTTCTATTTATTATGAAGTTTGATGCACCGGACCTTGATACTCATTGTTTAAAAAAAATGGTTGTATGCATCAAAATGATGTAGATGCCAGATTTTATCCTCATCCTATATATACTTAAAAGAGTCATCATCACTAAGTTATACTAGACAATACCTTGCGCGTTGCAGCGGAATGGTAGTGTAATAAACAATTTAAAAGAGAGGGGCACATGGTAATGAGAAAAGGAGTAAGAAATTAGAAATAAGAAATGTTTTGCAGTAGAAGATAGTTGGATTTAATAAATAACTCTGAAATCGAGTAGTGAGGATGACTCTCTCCCCACGTGTTTCTGCGGTAACTTTGTTAAAAAAAAGCGTAAGTAGTTGATAAAAATAACTAAATCTAAAGTATAAGCTTGAAAATCAATAAAAAATATCTAAAAATAGAATAAAAACTTTTGAATTACAGTTAATAATGTCATTTCGAACAAAAATGTGAAGGATGACTAACATGAATATATGATGTGGCAGTGTTACAGGCATAGACTAATGCAAAAATAATTGTATTTTATAAGTTAAATGCATGACTTTATGTGCTAGATTTTGCATGGCTTAGTGGGAGAGAAGACTTAAATGCATTGCTTAGTGGGACATTGAGGTGGACACTTTGCATGTTGAGAGAATTAAAACCAACTTCTTAAAAATGTAAGATATCTCAACATACAAGCGTGCCACATTATCATACAATTAAGGATGGGATAAAGCTCACCTCAACATGCCACCATGCATGAGAGAAGACCCACCACCACATGCAACCATGCATGGGAAAATATCTTTCATTCTATTATTCTACTTATGTTAATAACTATTTTGCAACTATACATAATTAAATATAGTAGCTCATATGTATTGTTAAATTTTGTTCACATGTTATTGATCTAAACATTTACATTTCACACAATCAAATGTGATTGAAATATATTGCAAACGATTCACGTAACAACGAGAGGGATATCATCTAGTTTTTTCTTAAAGTGTTAGGTTTTGAGTCGTAGCCGATCCATCTGTGTAGACCTTTGATTTTGCTATTAATTCAAAAAAGAGAAACGTTTACATTCGGCTGGCCGGCGGAATGCTCGGCCGGTCGTGTGTGACTTGCGCAATCCCACTCGGTAAAACGACGCCTAGTTGCTCAAGTGGCCACGTCACTAGCGCAACCTCCGTGGCGCACCGCTCCCCATCCCCCTTGATCCCTCTCGACGCTCTTATCCCATATAGAAGGCTCCCCTCTTCCACCCATCCACTCTCTTCTCATACCCTACCTCCAGCACTTGTGCCGGCAGCGAGCGTCCAAATTAAGCCATCGGAGAAATCACCTCGGTTACATGTGCCACCCTTTTTTGCATCTAGATCGGGTTGAGATGGGCGGGTTGGCAGCCGATTGCCCCCACCGCGTACACCGCCGTTGCGAGGAATACTCAGGGGCTGATGCAACCCGGGGAAG